CTTGACAAAATCCAGGGCAGAAGCGCAAGCAGAAAAGAGGTCATTTTAAAAATTCTGTCCAGGATAATGATGTCATCCATAGGCACTTTGATTAACTGCTTTTATGCCTGGCTTTCCTTCACTGCCTATTTCTCTACAGAATGCCAAAGTTTATCTGACAACAGACTGCAAAATATATTGGTTGTAGAGCAGTTAATTGTATCAGCTCTATTTTGGTTCCTTACAGTCTATTTGTCTTCTACTATTAAAAACAAGAAGAGGAAGAGGAGGAGGAGGAGGAGTTTTAAAAAATTAAACAAGAGTGTAAATTTATGGTTTGCATATTTTTCTGGTCCCACCATCTGTTGCTGAGATGTATTTTTAAAATGGTTGCTACTATTTTATTTTTTATTTACCAAAAGATCATTAGCTCCAGGTGCTTTGCCTAACCTCTCTCCATACGCTGATTTATGGAACTATAAGTGCATGATAGTATTCCCGAAATTGAGAAATTCCCTTTCAAATGATACATTTTTATTTATGTAACTATTTTGTTTTTAAATGAAATCATATATTCAAAGCCCATATATCATACACATTCTAATAATTTGGAAGTATTTTTAAAATATTTGTATGTAGTTATTTTAAGTATCAATAAATGAGCACTCACGGAATGTGTTCTTAATAGACATACTCATGAATAGAAGATAGACAAAAAGCAATATTTTGTATGTTTTAACTTAGCATATACTTTGAAGTCAAAATAATCAGACATACATATCCCTGTGAGTGTTGCAACACATTATGTTGTTTATTGTCACAATGATACACAAATGAAACTGGGTTTAGGCCCAATGAATTCAAAGAAAGGAAAGTAACCTGTTCTGAGTGCCTAGAATATACCAAGTACTACATTAAGAACATAGCCAATGCTTGAAGGTAAGGATTATTGGATGAATTAAAGAAACAACAAAAACATGAATGTTTAGCAAGTGTCTAAACAGTGTGACCACATTAATAACTGTTAGTTATAATGAGGGATATAGGACAATGTTCATTTTTCAGATGATGAAATTCAAGTTCAGAGAAGTTTAATACCTTGTCCAAAGTCACTAAAATGGTTTCAGGATTAAATCAGGATTAAATTTCAAATCTGACTCCAGAGTCTACATTTTTCCATTAGCCTCAAAGCAAAATTCTATAAAAATTATTCTCCTGTCTAGCAATTTCATGGACTTGGTAATGTAACTTTAAATATAAGACTTTAAGAACCTAATTCCTAAGATCCAAAACATATTTACAAAAAGGAGGTAGTAGCAGAATTTAACTGCTTGACTATAATTTTTTACCCATAGACTTTTTTTTCTTTTTTTTAAAGATTTTATTTATTTATATGACAGAGAGAGACAGCGAGAACAGGAACACAAGCAGGGGGAGTGGGAAAGGGAGAAGCAGGCTTCCCGCTGAGCAGGGAGCCCGATGCGGGACTTGATCCCAGGACCCTGGGATCATGACCTGAGCCGAAGGCAGATGCTTAACGAGTGAGCCACCCAGGCGCCCACCCATAGACTCTTACTACTTAACATTAAACTGAATAATTTTCACCTTCAGGACAATTAGTAAAACTCAGCCAGGAAAACAAGGGGCAGATAACCTTCAGCTTTGGGATATTACAAGTGGTTTGTGCCTGGCCCTAAACCATTACCATTATCCTTCTGGGATGTCACTATATTTGAGAACTGAAACCCATTGAATACAAGAAAAAACCTGAACTTTATTATTTAACATTCAAATTCTTTCAAAGTCCATATGCCAGATGGTAACATCCTATTACTCCCAAAGGGAAATTTTAATCAGAGTGCCTAATTAGAAGAAAAATTACCTGTTAATGCAAGTCTCTAAGTTCTAATTTGATATTACTATATTCTCATCAATCTTTACCTTAAAAATGAACTTAATCAGTCTGCTGATTTGAATCAAGACAACTGTATTTTTCTCATATAACCAATAGTAACTAGTGTAGCCTCAGCTGGTAGCCTCAGCTGCAATCCAAATTTCTACTGCAAAAGGTATTAACTTTTCATGTTGAATATTCTTTTTTTTTTAATAGTCTTCCTTGAGGGCATTCCATTTTTATAATATTAACACAAAAACAGACCCTGCTCTCTCATGAATAGGAACACATAGTTCTAGAAATATTTTAAACACTAGGCTTATCAACTGTACTATTATATACAGGAGTACAATACGTTCCAACTCTTCATAGTAAGCTTTCAAATAAAACCTTCCCCACAGGTCCTCTTTTGCCCAAATATTCTCAGACCTCCAAAGAAATCTACAGCATGAGAAATAATGTAAGATGACACTTCCATAAAGTCATTAAGTTCATTGCACCCAAAGACCCTAAGACATACTATCCAACTAAATATGGCTCATTGGCTGAAGCAGCTGCAAAAAAGGCTCGTGAAAAATCAATGGCTGTTATTTAGGAGGAAGGGAAAAACTGATGCTGATGTAGGCAACTTGCAGAACTTTCCACATTGCCTAAGTGGCAGCTAGAACCGCCAACTTTGACAATCTGTCAATGCCAGTCCTAGCTCAGTGCCATATTTCTTCCCAGTTCTGTTTCTGGATTTGTTCCTGCTAACTCTCGTTCTGGACATTGTATCAGCTATAACATTAATGACTTGTGTGACAGTGGGCTTCTGTTTTTCTATCAGTTAATATAATCCCCAAAATCTAGGTTATCATCGTAAAGTACATAAGCCTTCAAACTTTGAACCCAAAATCCCAATTTTCAGAAATATGAACTCACAGCATCACACAAATGTGAGCAACCATGACTCAGTGAAGTAAATGAATCCTGATGCTAAGCTTCAGGATAACATCCTATCCACAGCTCTGTCACTAACTAGCCCTGAGCCCATGGGCAAGTTAGCAACCATTCTGTGCCCCCGATTCTTCTATCATGTAAATGAGGATAATAATAGTATCTACCTAACAGGAGAGAACTCAACTAGGTAATATAAAAGAGTGGAGAGAACTCAACTAGGTAATATAAAAGAGTGCCTGGGATGTCCTAGTAAGCATATGGAGACATGAAAAGGGAGGTGTGACCCCGTGGACTGCATCACCGATATGCTTTAACACTGCTCAACTCCTCGTAGAGAGGCCTTCACATATAAGAAGAAGTAAATCTAGGATTGGCAGTTATAAAGATTTAAAGGAACAAGGTGAAATTATGCTATAGTTCAAGGAAAAGTCATCAAAAAAGTAACCCAACATGACTCTTGACCCTTAGGCCTTACAAACCAACAGGAGTAATTCTCACAGTTCTCTTGTTGGGGGAGATCACCCCAGGAGGGAAACGCTACGTTAAATATTTGTATTTCCCCTCACCCACTGCAAATTAGGTTCACCAAGTTAAATCCCAATGAAACAGATACTAAATATGCATATATATGCACACACACCTCACTTATCCATTTCCTGAGGTTTAGCAACAGAATCATTTACAAAATCTAAGTTAATAATAAAAATTATTGTCTTCCCTAGAGCAAAAGAATTTGCTCATTTTCTAGGAAATCTCTTCTATTTTAAAAAAAGAAATGCTAATTTCAACAAAGCAATGTATATTTAGAATGGAGAAATTTTTTAACAATTGAACACCGGTTAAATACTGGATAAACCTGTTTCAGGATGTTTAGGAGAAAAAAAAAAAGACAGCAGGTTCTATAGCAAGAAGACTGGTATGAGTTACAGCACAGCCACCAAAAGAAAAAAAAAAAAAATCACTCTCCAGAGTCTCTCCCTAAACAGGACACATATTGATTAAAAAATAAATAAATAAAAAATAAAGACAAAAACCCTCATTTTTGGTTATGATATATTCCATAGCAGTTTAATGCTAAGAAAGCAATTTTCATTGAAGAGCCCATCAGAATCACTTGTGAGAAATACTCTTTCCAATTTACACATATTCCCACAGATTATGGCAGATATTCCCACAGGTAATTTACAGGTGGCAGGGTAAAAATCATTGTTCTAATGAGTAAGTCTAATATAAGGCAATGAATGACATACTCTTCTACTATGCTGCAGGGAAAAATCATTGAGAACCAATTGTTGTAATAGAACAAGAATTTGGGGAAATGAACGAAGAGACTGTAGACCAAAGAATAACCTAAAGCAAAAGGAAAGACTCTTGCTCCCTATGTCTTACTTTTAATGAATAGCTTTGCATTCTACGTACTTATAACTCAGATGGAAATGAAATACCCGTTGAGTTTACTTACTTCCCATATATAAAACCTCACCCCAGAGTTCAGCATTCTTCAACTCTAGGCCTACCACAGAGGCTTAATGCCACAGAATACATTTTGTGTTTTAAATGTTTATCTATACAGAAGTTTACCTAATACCATTTCCCAATTCCTCCAATCAAAGGAAATCTGCTACCATAATTAACCATTTAGTATTCAGCATTAGAAAGTAGGTTTGTGCCTACTAGCTAATACTGCTTAAGTTTTCACTAATAAATTAAAAAGCAAAAAATTAATTCTCACTATTAATAAAGTATTTATAGGTATACATGCATAGAAAATGTTCAGAAAGATATACAAGAAACTGTCAAATTGTTGCCTCTTTGGAGTGGAACTAAGAAGGGCTAAGAGAGGTCTTATAATTTATTTAAACAATGAACACATATTACTTTAAAATAAACCATCCATAAAATTCTTAACTCCCATGAGGGGTAACAGTGGCCCAAATTTAGTAAGTCTCAGTTTAACTAATGTCCTGAATTCTTCCTCCTCTGACTTTAAACTTTCAAATTCAATAGAATCTAATCTATATAAGCTAGCTGGCAATCCATTTGACAAGCTAACCTACTAAAAAATAGTAATCTAAAAGCTAAAGCTGTTCACAATGGTTCTATCCTTTATCTCACCTCCCTACTTCTCAACAACTGATTTCCAAAAAGGTAGGTAAGAAAAAATGCAAACATATGTAAACATTCTCACATGTTCTATAGCACCCGCCTGTCCATTACTATAGTCTCGATACTGTCCAAGCATCTGGTCTACTTGTCGCAGGTTCCGACTGGTGTCCTTAAAAAAGGAAATGGATTTTATTAATTGTTCCAGTGTTTTTCTCAGCCTTAGCAGTATGTCAAATAGCTAAGACAACCATTTGCAAAAAGTACGATTTATATCATACTTAAGTTGGATATTAATATACTTTATAAATCAAATAAATATTAAAACCACTGAGAGAGAAACCCAAATCCATCCACAATTTACTGAAGCACACAATTTAAATCCTTATCCAAGGTTCCATAATCAGTTGGCAACAAAAAGACTCTTCATTATTAATTTGTGCACCTCAACTAATTCACACCTTTTTTATAGAAAAGGAATCCTGAAAGAACAAACCTAGGTAGACTATGTCTAAGAGAAGCAAATCATTAGGATCAATGTTATTTCAAATATAACTTCACCTCAGAACTTGATTAGGAAAAAAGAAAAAAAAAAAAGGATCCTTTAAACCTTTAGCTATAAACAACAAATTTAGTTCTAATCACAAGAAAAAGGGTTTCTACCCAAATGTACCAGATTTTACCTGAAAGATTAATGAAGGCATTTCTTTCAAAAATATATACTTACTAATGTGTCTCACTGGTGGGCAAGTATAAGGATCTGTACTCTAAAAATCCAATGGTATGCTAGTTTACATAAGCTTAAAAAGAAAGACTTCATGAGTTTTAAGTCAAATTATGGCCTCTCCAACATAAATTAGCCTCTTCTTACCTAAGCATACTAATCCAAAGCAATTTTGCTTATCCAGGCAAAGCAAAAATAAGAGATTAACAGGTAGGAAAAAAACCTCTTTTCTTTTGCCCGGGTTGGTTGTGTTACCCTTCCCCCACCTCTTTTCCCAAGTCCTTTCTATGGAGAGGATATAAACTGCCTCCATTCAAAATTCCAAAGGCAGTCAAAAATTAGCCTCTGAATAAAAATGACATCTCAGTATTGTTCATCCATGAATAATCTGCCTAGCCAAAATATGAGCAACTTCTCTAAGGGCACATGGCCACAAGAAACTAATCTGTGGTAATTCCTACTCGTTTCACTCCCACACATTTTATTTGGACATACTGCCTTATCCCAAAACACTTCCACAACCTATCATAAATTTCAAATATCTTTACTGACTGTGTTAGGCAGAATAATGGCCCCCAAAGATGCCCAAGTCCTAATCCTTAACTTGTGTATATGTAACCTTACGTGCCAAAGGGATTTTGTATATAAGACATGTATCTCAAGTTAAGGACCTTGAGACAGGGTGATTATCGTGGATTACTGGGTGAACCCAAGGTAATCACAAGTGTCCTTAAAAGTAGAAGAGGGAAGAAGAGTAGACAGAGTGATGGGACGTGAGAAGGACTCAACCCACCCTTGCTGGCTCTGAAGATGAAGGAAGAGGGCCTCAAGAAATGTGGGCAGTCTTTGAAAGCTGGGAAAGGCAAAGGAACAGACATTCCCCTAGGGTTTCCAGAAAGGAATGCAGCCCTACTGAACCCTGATTTTGGTGCAATAAGACCAGTGTCAGGTTTTGATGTACAGAACTATAAAAAATAACTTTGCTATTTTAATTATGAATTATAATTACTTATGTAGTTAGTTTGTGGTAATTTGTTACAGCAGTAAAAAAAAAAACTAATATGCTGACCAAAACTATTTCCAGCCTAAACTATTTAAAATCTACTAAATGCAACCACAGTTTAACTAACCTGTAAAGTACTCGTTATAGTGTTGACCTTCTTGGTGACACCTACTGTAGGACGACTTAGAGATTCCCTGTATGTTGACCTGGCAGTCCATCGACTCAATCGATCACGAGAGCGAAAGTGGTCTGAATCGCTGGAGGATTCTGCCATTGATGTACACAATCCTTAAAATGAAGCCAAGTCAAGGTCAATCAAACAGTAAAGAGCATGGAAATATGAGATTAACCATTTGCATTTTGATCTTTTTAAGTATTACATTAGTCCTTTGGCATATCATAATTTCTAAACATGTAGGTTGAAAACACAAGTCAATTCCCCAGGTAATTCTCTTTCCTTTGTTTTTTCTGCTATAAGAGAGCAACTCCTCAGATATGATTTTAGTCATGGTTACAAATAATAATAATCCCTTAATTTTGTGCAATGCTCCGAAATTTTAAAAGCACTCTCACGTATAGTACCTCACCTAATCTTACTAACAACACTGCAAGGTAGAAGGGACAGGTAGATTGGCATCTCTACAATTGAAAAAAAGTTATTCTTTAAGCTAGGACCTGCAGGTCTCAATATTGGTCTGAAGTCCATTCTACCAAGCTATAAGAATATGTGTGTCTTTAAACAAAAATACAACACTCACAGAATGGACCTAAAAAAAAGAGAACCCCATTCAGTGTATAGTGAACACTCTCATGCACTTTTTTTTTTTTTTTTTTTAAGATTTTACTTTTAAGTAATCTCTACACCCAATGCGGGGCTTGAACTCACAACCCTGAGATCAAGAGTCCCATGCTCTACAAACTGAGCCAGCCAGGCGCCCCCCATGCACCCTAATTTAAAATACAAAATTAAACAAATGCTATAACAGAGGTACAAATTCCACAGTAACAAATATGTGAGAAGATGGCATCTTGAACATCTCCACCAAAACAGAAAGCCAAACATCCTTAGTTTCATCAGTAGAAAATTCTCTAAATATGCTTTCTCCCCATCCTTACCTCAATATTTGACTTAATGCAAAAGAAAGTTATTTCATGCAAGACAACCTCAAAAGTTTCAGAGAATCTTTTATGGAATTTGAAGAAAAAAAATATATTTGGAACAGAAAGTCATCAGAGAACACTCATTGATCAAAAGTGGAAGTTTACAGAGTATTCCAATTTTATTTTTTGCTTAATGGAGGCTTAACAATCTTTAACATTGTTATAATCTTCCTAAAATCTATATGGCCATTTTTTCTGGCTTATTATATACCGTGTGATGAAAAATTTCATTAATGATCTAGAATATTCTGGACTTTCTGGATCTTTATTCTCAGTATATCTGGGAAGTACATGACCATACATCTAAAACAAAAATAAAGGGAATCTGCTAAATATAAATAGATCCTAGAGCAATTCATGAAAGCAGTTATGTTTTTAAAACGTTAGATAAAATAAAACTAAATAAAAAGATAAACAAGCAAGGACCTTTGCTGTAAGTTTAGGGTTTTTTTGTTTTTTGGGGTTTTTTTTAAGTGAAATACAGTCTGTCTGTGTAACATCAGAGAAAGAATCAACAGAACATCCAACTTCTGACAGCAGAAAAAGGGCCAGAGATTACGCTGTCAGACTCCTGTCTATGCCCTGTGCAGGTCTCTCAACCCCTTGCTGCACCCATCTCCTCTGCTTTGTGCCTCCCATCTCTTGCCCACAAGTCCAAAGGTATATAGAGCCTATAGTGTAGTACCCTCCCACATCAGGAAACACGAACCAGAATTATTTAGCTCTGCTTTTCTTGGATCACAATTGTTTAAGTCCAAAAGAATGTATTTGAGGAGAAATATTAAATATAAAGTTCACCTTTTAAACTTAGGAAACCACTTCCTATGTATATATCTCATAAATTGATACCACATTACCTAAAATTGTTTACTCTAAGTACTTTCCAGCATTCTCCATTAGTGAAAGCAGGAGGAATCAACATTTTCTTGTTGATTAACCATTGCTGTGTAGGGATAGCTCTATTTTCAACTTTTTGAGGAAACTCCACACTGTTTTTCTAGAGTGGTTGCACCAGCTTGCATTCCCACCAACAGTGTAAGAGGGTTCCCCTTCCTCTGCAATCTTGCCAACATCTGTCGTTTCCTGACTTGTTAATTTTAGCCATTCTGACTGGTGTGAGGTGGTATTTCGTGGTGGTTTTGATTTGTCTTTCCCTGATGTCGACTGAGTAGTCTCTGCAGTGTAGGGATAGAAGGAACATACCTCAATATCATAAAAGCCATACGAAAAACTCACAGTAAATATCATCCTCAACAGGGAAAAACTGAAAGCTTTTCCCTTAAGGTCAGGAACACAACAGGGATGTCCACTCTCATCACTTTTATTCAACACAGAACTGCAAGGCGTCCGCACAGCAATCAAACAACCACCTCCACCAAAAAAAGGCATTCAGGTTGGCAAAAAAGAAGTCAAACTCTCACTCTTCACAGATGACATGATACTCCATGTAGAAAACCCGAAAGACTCCATCCCAAAACTGCTAGAACTGATACAGGAATTCAGCAAAATCACAGGATATAAAATCAATGCACAGAAGTTAGTTGCATTTCTATACCCTAATAATAAGACAGAAGAAAGATATAAAGGAATCGACCCCATTTACAATTGCACCAAAAACCGGAAGATACCTAGGAATAAACCTAACCAAAGAAGTAAAGGATCTATACTCTTAAAAACTACAGAAGAGGAGTGACTGGGTGGCTCAGTCGGTTAAGTATCTGCCTTCAGCTCAGGTCATGATCCCAGGGTCCTGGGATCGAGTCCCGCATCAGGCTCCTTGCTAAGCAGGGAGCCTGCTTCTACCTCTGCCTACTGCTCCCCATGCTGTGCTCTCTGACAGATAAATAAAATCTTAAAAAAAAAAAAAAAAACCTATAGAACACTTATGAAAGAAATTGAGGAAGACACAAAGAAGTGGAAAAACATTCCATGCTCATGGACTGGAAGAACAAATATTGTTAAAATGTCTGTGCTACCCAAAACAATCTACAAATTCAATGCAATCCCTATCAAAATACCATCAGCATTTTTCATAGAGCTGGAACAAACAATCCTAAAATTTGTATGGAACCAGAAAAGACCCCAAATAGCCAAAGTAATATTGAAAAAGAAAACCAAAGCTGGTGGCATCACAATTCCGGACTTCAAGGTGTATTACAAAGCTGCAATCAACAAGACAGTATGGTATTGGCACAAAAACAGACACACAGATCAATAGAACAGAATAGAGAGCCCAGAAATGGACCCTCAACTCTATGGTCAACTAATCTTTGACAAAGGAGGAAAGAATGTCCAACGGAAAAAAAGGACAGTCTCTTCAACAAATGGTGCTGGGAAAATTGGACAGCCACATGCAGAAGAATGAAACTAGACCACTTTCTTACACCATACACAAAATAAACATAAAATGGATGAAAGACAAATGTGAGACAGGAATCCATCAAAATCCTAAAGGAGAACACAGGCAGCAACCTCTTTGACCTTGGCCACAGCAACTTCTTATTAGACATGTCTCCAAAGGCAAGGGAAACAAAGGCAAAAATGAACTATTGGGACTTCATCAAGATAAAAAAGTTTTGCACAGCAAAGGAAACAGTCAACAAAACCAAAAGACAACCGACAGAATGGGAGAAGATATTTGCAAATGTCTTATCAAACTCAACACCAAAAGAACAAATAATCCAATCAAGAAATGGGCAGAAGACACGAACAGGCATTTCTCCAAAGATGACATACAAATGGCCAACAGACACATGAAAAACTACTCAGTCAGCATCAGGGAAAGACAAATCAAAACCACAATGAAATACCACCTCACACCAGTCAGAATGGCTAAAATTAACAAGTCAGGAAACGACAGATGTTGGCAAGATTGCAGAGGAAGGGGAACCCTCTTACACTGTTGGTGGGAATGCAAGCTGGTACAACCACTCTAGAAAACAGTATGGAGTTTCCTCAAAAAGTTGAAAATAGAGCTACCCTATGACCCAGCAACTGCACTATCAGGTATTTATCCAAAGGATACAAAGGTAGTGATTCAAAGGGGCACATGCACCCCAATGTTTATAGCAGCAATGTCCACAATAGCCAAAATATGGAAAGAGCCCAGATGTCTATCAACAGATGAATGGATAAAGAAGATGTGGTATGTGTGTTCGTGTGTATACATGTGTATACATATATATATATATATATATTTGTATATGTATACATATACACACACACACACACACACACACACACACACTGGAATATTACTCAGACATCAAAAAGACTGAAATCTTGCCATTTGCAATGACACAGATGGAACTAGAGGGTATTATGCTAAGCAAAATAAGTCAGAGAAAGGCAAATACCATATGATTTCGCCCATATGTGGAACTTAAACAAAATAGATGAACATAGAGGAAGGGAAGGAAAAATAAAGATGAAAATTGAGAGGGAGGCAAACCATAAGGAACACTGAACTTAAGGAAACAAACAGGGCTGCTGGAGGGGAGGTGGGTGGAGGTAAGGGATAACCGCGTGATGGGCATTAAGGAGGGCACATGATGTAATGAACACTGGGTGTTATATGCAACTGATTAATCACTAAATGCTACCTTTGAAACGAATTAAAAAAAAAAAAGAAGAAGAAGAAGAAGAAGAAGAAGCCATAAGTGATTCTTAACGATAGAGAACAAACTGAGGGTTGATGGAAGGAAATGGATGGGGAACAGGTTAGATGGATGATGGGTATTAAAGAGGACACTTGTTGTGATGAGCAATGGGTGTTGTATGTAACTGATGAATCACTGAACTCTACTCCAGAAACCAATATTGCACTGTATGTTACCTAACAAAATTTAAAATATATATAGTTATTATTTCCAATTCTGACATGTGTCCTTCTAATATTTTTAATGAAATATTTAGAACATTTTAAATAAAGTCTTAGTACCTTTCCACCCCACCCTCCACTCAGTAGTATTCCTGCCTCGCATCAGGGCAACCACTAGCATGATTTTGTGTTTAACTCTCCAGGCCATATTTTTATACTTTTACTGCAGGTGTATGTTCCTCACAGTCAAGTTCTTAAGAAACACACATTATAATCAGTTGATAAATATTAACAAGTGAAAACATGAGGTATCTGAATTTAACTTTAAAACAGAAAATCTTAGCAGCATTAAATAAAGAATTGAACTAAATTATGTGTAATTGTCACACAATACAAAAAGAAAGACCTCTCACTTACCCCTACTAGGGATTACATATTTTTAATAAGAGAAAAATCACACTTTCCAGCATGAATTTCACTGCTACACACACACACAAAGTCTTCGGCTATTAATTTCAATTACTCTGAGCAATAAAAGATGTTCAAACTCCTGCATCTGATGGAACTCCTGTAAAGATATCAAGATGTAAGATGAAATCGATCTGAGAATTCTGCATGGCTTTTTTTAATACAAAATAAGAAACATTCAGCAACCATCTAAGCACTTTAATTATACATAAGTGTCATAAATGTTGAAGACATTAAAAAATCCATAATAAAAACAGAAATTAGATTTTCATTGTTGATAAAAACTGAGCACTTTCTCCAACTATTACTGACAACTCACAAAGTCAAACGTGACCCGCAAAGCTAACTGAGAGAGCACTTACCCTAAGTGTCACAACACAGAAGGCAGCTGTGATGGCAGAGACCCAACCTTATCAAAAGATGCCATGTCTCATCAGCCAACACCACCACTCCCCAGACACAGAGTTGAAGGAGGGAGAGAGAAACAAAAGAGAAAAGAGCAGCTACTAGAATTGGCAAGAAGCTAATGCCAGCCACATAATCAGAACCAGGAGTGAATATAGGGAGATCCATTAAAATAGTTCTGAAGAGCCCCTAATATAACTTACTAAAAAAGAAAAGCACAAAGCAGTAAGTGACAATTACACACACTTTATTCCATTAAGACTGTCTTATTTTACATTACAATTTAAAAAAACTTTTAAAATATCGTATATCCTACTATCAGTGGCATTAATGAAAATTGACCAGGCCTCTGAAAACTTCTCCCCAGTGAAACTGTACCCAGAGCACTAGATCTATTCCATGTTGAAAAAAGTTTATTGAGAGTGGTCACATAAGTAAACACTCCGCATGGTTATAAAAAAAACTGTTCTACCTAATTAACCTAAAATGTAAATTAAACAATGAGATGCTTTTCTAGCCTATTGACTTGTTTCCTGTTAAATAATAATGTCTATGCTTAGCCAGGTTTTAAGGGAAAGAGCATTCTTCTACTGTCCTAGTGGGAATGTGTAAATAGATACAAACTTGTCTGGCTATCAGCAAGCAGTATGTATCAAGGGCAGTTTGTACCTATCACCTACTAACTATACTTCCAAAAATTTCCCCTAACAAAATCATCTGAATACATACAGAATTTATATGTAAGGATATATGTAAGGACATATACTGAGAAGTTATAATAGAGGTAAAATAAAAAAAAATTTCAAATTATAAAAGAATGGTTAAAATACAGTACCTCTCATGCAATGAAACAGTATACAGATACTAAAAAGTCTGTTTCTGGAGACATTTAATAGCAACACAAGGACAAAACTATGAATTTTGTAATTAACATTGTATGTTGTCTATATGTGAATATAAATTATCAGTAAACAAATTTAGGGCGCCTGGGTGGTTCAGTTGGTTAAGCGACTGCCTTCGGCTCGGGTCATGATCCTGGAGTCCCGGGATCAAGTCCCGCATCGGGCTCCCTGCTCAGCAGGGAGTCTGCTTCTCCCTCTGACCCTCCTCCCTCTCATGCTCTCTGTCTCTCATTCTCTCTCTTTCAAATAAATAAAATCTTAAAAAAAAAAAAAAAAATTATCAGTAAATTTAAAGGAGCAGGAAAAGGCAACAACAAAAGGGTAAGAAAATAAACCAAAAGTATATTTACCATCCAATATTTAGTCAATTTCTGTGTTTTGAAACATTCCTATCTTTCCTGAATTTTCCACAATGACTGTATAATCGGAAAGAAAAATATAATATATACTTAAAAGAAAGAAAAATATAAACATAACCTTTAGAGGTAACAGATTAATAACAGGATGACAGCCTGGAAGACGTGTTTAAATAAAAGCTGGATTCAGAACTCCCTTTTTCTTGACAGTTGTTTCCTTCTCCCAAGCAACTTTCTTGATCAACTACTCAGTCCCCGGACACCTACCTAAATGGGGTCATGTCACTAGTCCTCACCAACTGATGAGCTAAAGAAATGGGATCACAATGTCAATGTCTACTGTTGCATACTGTAGAATACTGGCTGACCAAAGAAACCATTTATCATGAGTTTATGAGCTAAAAGAGTAATTTTTTTCATCATGTATGACTCTATCTTTGCAATTTTGCTGAAGGACAGTCATTAAATTCAAAAACGGACTCTCTTAAACATTCTAAATACTGGAACAAACGGAAAAGCTGAAGGACTATGTGGAAGTATACTAATGCGCACTGACAGAGCTTACACGATCAAATTCGGCTTTGGGAAACAAACTAAAAATGGTCTGAGAATGATATTTAATCAAAATTACAATTTGAAGCCCAAAGAGAAATTATTAAGACGAGTAGAAAAATAATGTATGCTCAAGAAAAATCTATCATTATGGTTAAAGATTTAAAAGAAGAAAATTCAGTTGGATTAGAACTCTTCCATCATAAGAAATTTAAGTGTGACATTTGTTGACAGAAAAAAGAGTTGCTAAAATTGAAGAATGCCCAAAGAACTCTTTCAAGAACTATTTATTTATTTAAGAACAATTTAAAGAAGCTGAATCACCTAAATCCTGGCTAAAGGTGAGAAAGCATTTCCTTCAACTGAAGAAAAAGCAGTAAATGTTCTCTGCAGCTTACTACCACTTACTAGTACAATAAAATCTCTCATTGATGAGAAAAACAATAATATTCATGCTGTCTGCTTCTCAGATGCTGAGCTTTTTCCAAAACCCTAGAAAGGACTAAGATGGGTGACCTCGGGTGAAAGTCTCCGGAGTCTTAGAGAAAGTTCTTGGTCTGAAACCAGATGGTACAATTCTTAGAGTAGTTTAGTTAGCTGTTCCCAACACATCAGTATTTAAAGGCATAAATATTGTTGCTTCTGTCTTAATGAACCTTATAAAGAAGACAGACAGCCACCAGAGCAAGAAATGAACCCTCATCAATTCACTCCCCCTGAGGATCCATCAAAAACAAATGTCCATATGCAAACCTGAACAACGACCAGAGAGTAAAACTGCGTTCAATCCTGTAGGAGGACTGGCAGGGAGTCTTTGCAAACTCAAGTCCACCTCTTTTGTTATTTGACCTAAAGAACCATCAGACTGTCTTCATTATAATGATGCACATTTGTATGTATGAGAGCTATAATTTATTGATTCCAAGTCTCTTTTCCTCAGAGCCAGTTTAAAACAATTAGGATTTGCAAGCTGTTCCATAAAAGATAAGCACCCAGCATCAGGGGTGATATTTCACAAAGGCTGACTAGTGCATGTTAAGTAGGTGATTGCTTCTGTGGCCTTCAAGTGCCTCAGCCGTCCCTGTCCAAGGCAACTGTCCTCCATGTTCAAGGTAATGATGTTGATATTTAAGGGTTGGGGGCGGGGGGGGGAGGTGGGAAGTGGATTTTAAGCTTAATCACTAACCAAGTTCAAATTTTAGAAAGCATTTCTCACTGTTTCAATAGCTGTAGGACTTGAGAGCTTTATTCTCTCCTTCAAGAGAAAATATTAACAAGCCAGCCGACGTTACCATGTTATCAATTGTACCTGTCTTCTTTACACCAGTGCTCCTCTGTAACTTCAAACTCTCGAAAGCTTTTGGTAAGTTAATATAAGATCAAAATTAACAGTATAGTCCATCAGCCAGTTCTCTATTAAGTCAATAGATAATGTAAGACATAGGAAACAGAATCAAAGAGATGCAATAGATTCATGCATTCATCATTTACTGAACTGCCACCACATTAGAAACGGATGAAAGTAAATTAAAAAAAAAAAAATCACAGTCCTTGATGGGAGAGAAAAAGGCTTATGAAAGTACTATACATGGTGAGCTAAGTAATATAACAAAATGCCAGGGGAGTTGGGTCAGGATCCTTTCACTCATCTGGAAGATGAATAAACGTTTGACAGATGACAAGGAAACGGGATCCAGTTAAAAACCATCTGTCTCAAAGGAACTATGGGGCGCCTGGGTGACTCAGTCGGTTAAGCGTTTGACTTTAGCCCTGGTCATGATCCTGGGGTCCTGGGATCGAGCCCCTCGTTGGGCTCCCTGTTCAGCGAGGAATCTGCTTCTCCCTCTGTCTGCCCCTCCCCTCCATTCGTGCTCTCTCTCACTCGCTCTGCTGTCAAATAAACAAAAAATATTTTTAAAAAATACTTTTTAAAAAAGTAACTAAAGGTACAAATAAGCAAAGCTCTCACATCCTTTCACCAGGGCGTAAATTTAACTGTCTACAGATATTGGTAAATGTCCCTGGGGCAGGGGCAAGGAAGGGGTGGCTTGGTTAAATCATCCCCTGCTAAGAACTTTTTAGAGAATTAACACTTACTTACACACACACACACACAATCTGATTCTTTATTGTATATTCCACTTATTCCTGTTGCTCCCATGCATCTCCTCTCTCCCCCACACACACTCCCACACTCCTCTATTCAATGGGTGAAGCCAGGCAGGCTCAGCCCCTTGGCTGCATTTTGCTCCCTTTACTCCAATACCTCTGAGTTCAAGGACAGAGTCACAGGGACCAGTGCGCAGCCAGCAGGAAGCAGGGGTGTTTCCGGAAAAGGCCATGCAGCATACAAAATGACTGCTTACTCAGACATGGAGAAAAAAAACTAGTAGCTGCTCAGATAATTATATATGTACCAATTGATAAAAATCAGGGCTGTTTTAAAAGAAAATAAAGTTACTTAATAACCCCCTCTCTGTCTCACAATCAGAATGCTATAGATATTTTAGATTTATACACCCACACACTTCTAAAATAAATGAAGTTTACAAAATTAAATAGAAAGTAGAACATGTCAAGACAAATACAACAAATGAACACTCGAGGAAAAAAACAGAAAAAGGATGCTAAAAAACCCAAGATGGATTTGTTATTTGTAATTAAACCCTAGATTTGCACTCTTGCATTTATTTGCCAACCAAAAAAACCACATATTACAATATTCCCAAAATAGCTGATAAGAATGAAGTACTCTTGGGGTACAGATGACCTCTACTAACTGTCCAAACTGCTTCAGACTGGGCAAGATATCAGCATGGACAAAGATGGTGCTAGCATCCAAGTTTCTGACACCATTTTGTTTAAATTGGAGGATGAAAACTGGAAGACTACATACCAAATCCAGGCAACCAACATGTACTTAAAAATAACACTCACTGTGTTACTTTAAAGCTTTAATTTGAAAACAAAGATTTCACATAAAAATTTCAATTTCAGGGGCGCCTGGGTGGCTCAGATGGTTAAGCGTCTGCCTTCGGCTCAGGTCATGATCCCAGGGTCCTGGGATCGAGTTCCACATCGGGCTCCCTGCTAGGCGGGGAGCCTGCTTCTTCCTCTGCCTCTCTCTCTTTCATGAATAAATAAATAAAAAAAAATTAAAAAAAAAAAAATTTCAATTTCCAACTTCTCTTTAAAAAATCCAGAGAGCTGGCAATACTGGGGGTGAATTTTTCCATGGCAACATGGACATAATACCTATAGTACCTGCCCTAGAGTCAGGCACATACCTTCTTGTTTTCCCCAGTCCCCACTGGACCTGCTTCACACGGTGAATTGCCTGACTGGCCCCACTTACCAGTTGAGCCTGCAACTTTATTTTAGATAAAGAACCAAGACAACGGAAGTTTACCAGTCTCCTTCCCCAGTTAAAAATGAGCAAGTCAATCATGAAGACTGAATCAAGGTTAAATGCTCAAAAAACAATGCTTTCCTCTATAGACAAGAAGGAAAAATGGATAATACAACTCTGATATTAGCCATCCCTATAGACTATAAAACCAGAAAGATATACTACTACTGAGCAGAAGAACTAAAACTACTTAGAATGTTTTCCCACTTAGAATGCTTCCCTATTGTATAGATCAGAAAGTACTTTCAGAACGAAAGTGTACTACAATGCATAATCCAGCTCTCATTCTTCACCCCTCCCTACATACACTGCCTTCCTACCATAGATGGAGTTACCTGCCCATGGAGTTACCAGCCCAGGTCCAAGCAAGGGTTTGAAATGAGATTATGCACTGGAACTTGCTCTCCTGCAACTCTCCCATCACCATGAGGATGTGCCCAGGCTATGCTGTTGGATGGCATGGATCCATGGTTGCCCAGTGGCTTCCAGCTTAGATCAGTAGATCAGCCAGCTGAACACAGACAAATCAGTCTAGGAATGATAAGCAGAGAGCTTAGCTAACCCATCACACAAGCAATAACCATGTATTGTTTTATGCCTCCAAGGTTTGATTTGTTATGCAGCAAAAGCTAACTGAAAAAATATAGTTTATTAATAAATCATTTGATTTGATTCAGAAGATGGTTAATTTCCTGAAGTTTGCTCTCAAGCCTACACTCCCTGAGAAAACAGGTTGGTTTCAGGCTGGTGGAAGAAAGAAAGGATAGATTCAAATTCAAAATAAGCATAAGCAGTCGATAAAACAAGTGAAAGTCTAGCAGTTTTTGAGAAAAAAAAAATCTAAACAATCATAAATAGGCAGTTGGGGATATCTGTTCTCTGTATAACATTAAGTTTTTTTAAAGAAATAAGCAATTTCTTAAGTATATTATGAAATACACTTGTTCTCTTCCTCCTTGTTTTTAAAGTATAAAAAGAGGGACACCTGGGTGGCTCAGTCGGTTAAGCGACTGCCTTCGGCTCAGGTCATGCATGATCCCAGGGTCCTGGGATTGAGTCCTGCATCGGGCTCCCTGCTCAGCAGGAGCCTGCTTCTCTCTCTGCCTGTTTCTGCCTGCCGCTCCCCCTGCTTGTGCTCTCTGACAAATAAATAAAATCTCTAAAAAATAATAAAATAAAAAATAAAGTATAAAAAGAAATTCCTCTTGACTTTCCTAGTGAACAAAACACTAAGAATTTTAAGAAAACAGTTACGTACGTAACTAATGAATCACTGAACACTACATCAAAAACTAATGATGTACTATACAGTGGCTAACTGAACATAATAAAAAAATAAGAAAATATTTTATTGCTATTTATACCTTAAATCTGCATATTGCTTTATGGATTACAAAGCATTTTCCCTAGCCTTCTCTCTTTTGATCCAGTAAAGTTGGTACAATTACAACCCTTTACTTTTGCTGAAGAAAAACAAAGCTTTGAGTAAAATACTTGTCTGTGATGACTCTGCTAAAAAGATGCAATAACAGAGGTGGAACCCACATCTTCTGCCTCTAAGCTAGTGCTTTTTCCACTTCATTCTATACATAAAAGAATTATGTAAATTCCAAATACACTGCCCAATCACTGAAATGTTTTCTTTGTCCTCCCCTACTATATTTCTTATGATCCATCCTCCCCCTCCAAGAAATGCATTTAGGGCCAGAATATTCCATATGCACTTGTTTAAAGGTTTATATGATGAATATAAGATAATAAAGTATTAAAAACTTAAATGTGCTATAAATCCAACTTACTACAGCTATTTTAAGACATCTCTTAAATAATCCTTTCTCTTGTTAAGAATATTTACAACCCAAAAAAAAAAAAAAAAAATGTAAGAATATTTACAACCCATTTCAGGCCGAAAAGTGTCCCTATTTTTCAGAAACCATATCCTAAAACCTTAAACTTTAAAAAAAGGTATTCTCCTCATGATGTATACATATTTTCTATTTCTCTTTTCCACCACTCTCAATACCCATATTTCTTTCTTGCCCCATTCTTCTTTTACTTTATATCTTTAGATCTTTCCTTTAACTCTTTTATAATAAAAAACTGGAATATATTTTTATTGTACCTATGGATATGTTTATTCAAGAGTTTGGCATTTATTCTTATTTTTAGAAGTGGATAAACAGAATGATTTGTATATTCTTTCCAAAATATAAAAAAGAAAACCACTTATAAAATGTATTTTAAAATGGTCGTTGGAGTTCTTAAGTTTGACTTGTACCATGAGCTGTTTCTGGGAATGTTTTTAAATGTTTGAATAAAAATTTTAAAACCTATAGGGTTAGAAAGGAATCCAATTATAATGAAATGCACTACAATATCATTTGAAACCAATTACATTTAAAAATTAAATTACTGGGAGTATATGTAAGTAGGCCCTGGTTAAAAACCTCAATTTCAAAAACCTTCAAAAAACAAAAGTTGAAATAATATTAATGCCGAATAACTAAGACTTCCACATAACAGATTATCGTACAACAATAACCCTACAAAGTAAGTACTATTGTCATCCCAACATATACATAAAGGGCTTAAAGAAGCTAAATATAAGTGTCCAAGGTTATACAGCTCCCAAGTGGCACAGCCGAGTCTTGAACCTTTCTCCCACCTTCCTATTTACCCCTTCTCATCGCCACTGGCACCACTCATCATTCAGGACCTTTCTCAACTCAGTCCTAGCCACCAACATGGTTTCTCTGTGAGTCTTTTCCTAGCCATTCCAACTTTCACGGACACTCCACCGCCCATGTAAGACTGAGTCTAAGTTCCTGAATCAGGAATTCAAGACCCTCAGCTAGCCGCCCTCCTCTCCAGCAAAAGAACCACAGAAAACCTAAGGCCTGCATTCAGCTGTTATGATCCCGGCTATTCTCCCATCACTTCACTCCCTCCCTAATATCATTAGTTCTGTCTAGAACATCTTCTGCTGTGTACCATTGCCACTTATTGAAATTCCACTCATCGTTCCAGGCATAGCACAAATAATACAATCTCTGTGAAGCCATCTCCAGCCAGAAGTGATCTTGCCTCCCTCTGCATTTTTTTATCTCTACAATCATAGCAAGACATTTATTAAACATGTCCTTAAAATGTAATTATTTGTGCCATGGAATTTTTTTTTTTTTCTCAATTCCTCAAACATGGCATACTCATTTCACTGCAGGATTCATAGCCTAGAACTTTCCTTTCTCTCCTTTTCCCTTAGCTAACTCTTACTTTTTCCTTCAAATCTCAATTTACAGGAAACTTCCCTTAAAAAGCTTTCCTTCACTGCCCTCACCCAACTCTGGGTCAAGTGCCCATAGTGGATACTACCTCATCACAGCCGAGAGATTGCTAACTGGCTGTTTACTTGTCTGTTTCCTCAGTAGACTCTAAATTTCATCAGAGACTCCATTTATTTTGTTCATGGCTGTGTTCCAATACCTTGCATAGTGCTGGGCATGTAGTTGGAACATTTTTAAATGAATTTACGATTAAATTTTATTATCCTGTCTGATTAACCCAGAGACAAATTTCAAAGAACAGGACTTTGCAAATAGCATGTACTAATTAAATAACTGCTGCATGAAATAATTCTAGTGGTAAATGGCCTAGATTAATTATCTTAAGCCTTCAAACAATATGGATTGAACTGAAAAACAGTGTAAATATGAATATTTGATAATATGTCTATTTAGAGTAAACAAGGATAAACATTTCAAATTGGCTTGAACACATGTGTTAAAACTTATAACTGAATCAAACCTAGAGGATTTCCTTGACTTGCTACAAATCACTTTATCATTGTCATTTGCAGCTACCTGCATTCCTCAATTATTATTTATCTGCACTATGGAGCTCTAAACTCCCAATTACTTGGGCTCTTTATCATCTGGGTCCATTCTCAGTACTGCTTCGATGTACCAATTGCTGCTCACAGGAAAACCCATTTTGCCATTTTAAAGCCTTCACTCTCCCACCACCAAGCATTTTTTTTTTCTTTCTATGATCTATAAAATTTGCCTATCTCTTCTTCCTTTAAGGAAGCTTTTGGTGTTTGGCTCAGAGAAGGCCAAGGTGCAACTGCCTTCATTCATCCCAAATCCGAGTTCATCCAACACCAGCCATTTCCACTATGCCACCTAAGTTCGACCCAAACAAGATCAAAGTCGTATACCTGATGTGCACTGGTGGGGAAGTCGATGCCATGTCTGCCCTGGCCCTGAAGATCAGCCCCCTGGGTCTGACTGAAGTAGCACCTTCTGCCTCTGCCCTGATGATCAGAACCCTCAAGGAATCACCAAGGGACAGAAAGAAGCAGAAAAACATTAAGCACAGTGGAAATATCACTTTTGATGAGACTGTCAACATTGCCCAACAGATGTGTCATGGATCTTTAGCCAGAGAACTCTCTGGAACCATTAAAGAGATCCTGGGGATTGTCCAATTTATGAGCTGCAATGCTGATGGCTGGCACCCTCATGACATCATAGATGACATCAACAGGCGGTGCAGTGGAATGCCCAGCTAGTTAAGAACTACAAAGGAAAATATTTCAATAATGGATCATTTGACAACCAACCAACCTACCAACCAAATAAATAAATAAATACTAATCATAGGTCACTTCTTCAATGATATCTCTCTTCATTCAGAAAAGCCTAGTTCAGGCTTACTTTAATTCACTCCTCCATTCATCTCTAAGCTCATTCATCCATGAGCACTCATTAATTCATTCATTCATGAGCACTTATATGGCAAATCTGATGCATAGGGTAGACTCTAAATGTTCATCAGCTAGCTGGATTCATGTAACCACGAATACTCCCATCTCCCAAACACTCCAAGCACCAGCATTGTACAGATCTACATGAAGAGTTATAAGAATTTCAGGGAGGTGTACGTATCTGAGAAAGGCCTGATTAGTCTCTTAGGATCATTCGTAACCATTAATAACAAGACACTAGAAACAAGGTTAAAAATCTAAAGGACAGGGGCGCCTGGGTGGCTCAGTTGGTTAAGCGACTGCCTTCGGCTCAGGTCATGATCCTGGAGTCCCGGGATCGAGTCCCGCATCGGGCTCCCTGCTCGGCAGGGAGTCTGCTTCTCCCTCTGACCCTCCTCCCTCTCATGCTCTCTGTCTCTCATTCTCTCTGTCTCAAATAAATAAATAAAATCTTAAAAAAAAAACAAAAAAAAAACCTAAAGGACAAACTCAAATATATTTGCAATATATGAGAATGAAGGGATTAATCATCTCTTTTAAAAATAGAAAAAAAAAAGTGTAGTAAAGGATACAAAAGGATATGTAAACAGGCTATTCACAGAGTGCATACAGCCCTAACATATAACATAGTTTATTTCACTAATAATTGCAAATTAAAATGATAAAATCATATTCTTGTTTCCCTGTTTTGTACAGATGGAAAAAAAGCTTTGGCATGGGTACACCTTGCTATAAGAGTATTAACTAGAATAATTTTTCAGGGTGCCTGAGTGGCTCAGTTGGTTAAGCATCTGCCTTCAGCTTGGGTCATGAGCTTGGTCCTGGAATCCAGCCCTGCATGGGCTCCCCACTCAGCAGGGAGTCTGCTTCTCTCTCTCTCTCTATCTGCCCCTCCCCGCCCCTCGTGTGTGTGTGTGTGTGTGTGTGTGTGTACATGTAGGTGTGTGTATAATTTCATTGAATTATTAGTAAAAAAAAAAAAAAATAAGAAAAAACAAATAGATTAAATGGATCTACTCATTGAGATACTGGTAGCAGTTAAAACAGGCAAGGCAGAAATTCATGTGCTAACATGTAATACATTAACAAGAAAGAAAAACACACTATAGAATAGTATGAACAGACTGAAAACATTTCATAATAGAATCAACCCAGTGACAGTGTTATACGGATAACAATGAGCTCTAGATTATTTTCATATTACTGCCAGATGTATCAAGACTGCAGTTCAGAATTTCTGGGCTAGACTATCCTATCAGGCCCCTCCAGTTCTAAAATTCTTTAATTCTAAGGATTTTGTACAACATAGATCCGTACATGGTGTTATTGCAAGGTCCCAATGCATCTCCCCTCTATGTTGAAGGACCCTTCAATGCAGCATGAAAATATTGGGGCTCCTGGGTGGCTCAGTCGATTGAGCATCCCACTCTTGGTTTCAGCTCAGGTCATAATCTCGGGGTTGTGGGATTGAGCCCTGCGTCAGGTTCCATGCTTAATAGAGAGTCTGCTTGAGATTCTCTCTGTCCCTCTCCCTCAGCCTTGCCCCCCCAAAACAATAAATCTTTAAAAAAAAAAAAAAAAGGCTAATAAAACCCTTTGAACATATAAAGAGATAAATAACAGTAAACACTGCTTATATGGTATATCTAATCTAAAAATGCTAACTGTAAATCAAATCTGATTAGAGAACTATCATAAACAGCAATGGGGCTTCTTTGCAATGGGCAGGACTGGGATTTGTCAAAAGATCTGGGAACAAAGACCACTGTTTTGGCTCCAGATAGCAAGCAAGTCAAAAAAATCTATCCGAACTTCCACTGCCTCAATTGTAAAATGAAAATAAGAATAAAAGTATTATATAGATAACATGTGAAGAGTGCCTAATACATTGCTTGGGACAAAATAGGTTCTCAAACACTTGTCTAACAAAAACAGTTACAGTATTGTTGCTTTTGTTATCTAGTTTGTTGCCCTGAATTTTTGTAACATCAAATCCGTTTTGTTCATCTGAATTTTTGTAACACCCTTCTCACAGCCATCCTATCTTATCTTTATACTGCATGTTAGAAAGGAGTTTCTTGCCCCCAAAAGTCTATCTGTTGAAATATTCTTACCCGCCATATGTGAAAATCTGTTAACTCAGAAACTTAGGGAGAAAGCATACTTACAAAGCACACCCCCAAAAGTCCGTGTTGTTCTCCTCTGTGTTCTCCTCCGTGCTCTTCTTAGGCACATGTGTTTGCCTCCTATCATTTCTTCATGAGGTTCAGGGCAAAAGGCCTAGTCAAGTAGATGATCTTTGGTCGCCCCTACACTTTCCCCAAACCACCTAGAGATAAACGAAACAAGGGGGTAAAATACAACTACAACCTTAATTTTTTAATATATATAATAAAGGATAAAAATAAGCTCACCTTCACCATGCACAATTTACAGCATAACAGACAACAGAGAAAGTGTTCCTTGGATCATGCAAAAGCCCCAGTGAACTCACAGGATTTCTTCACATCCAAGTACCCAGCCAGCATACCCTTCACTGGTCACTTCCACTCATGCCTGGTTACCCCTTGGGCTGGCTAGTGTGAACTGTAGCCCAAGTCTGGCTAAAAATACTATCCCTGAGCATGTCTATCTGTGGGTAAACTCACTAAGGCAGGTAATGAAGTTGACATGTTACTTCTGAATTTAATGGCCCAATTGTATTTCTAAGCCAGTAATGAACTATCCGCCAGCACTCCTAAAGGAAATATTTTATAAGCTGCCCAACTCTTCCCACATTTAGTACTGCAAATCAGTAAGTAAAAGTAAAAGGTCTCTGGTTGTTAGAGCTATGGACAGAAATATTTTCAATTCTCTGTGACTGCTTTCAAAGCAGTCTGTAAGAATCCACAGAAAGTTCGTCTGGGAACTGGTCACTGTCTACATAAAAAGTAGTTCTGGGAATACATCTATGAACAACTTCAAGAAAAAAAGTACTCTGGAAAAATTAGATCAAAATAAACTGTCCGAGAGTTCAAAGTGACCCATATCACAGAGTGACAGAGAGGACACAGGTAACATGCACACACAATTCACTCATCTAACAAAGACGCAAACTTCCCCAGCTGAGTTACACAAACAACCAAATTTTTCCGTACTAATGCGAAATGGTTGAAGTTTTAACCTTCTATCTGTGCTGCCAATACAGTAGTTACTAGCCACATGTGGCTACTGAGCTCTTAAAACCTGGTGGGTTTGAAATGACAAGGGTTGTAGATGTGAAATATAAATAACAGAATGTGAAGATTTAGTGCCATTAAAAAAATTGTTTTAAAAATGTAACATATCTCAAAAAGGTTCATACTGACTACATGTTAAAATGAGAATGTTCTGGATATACTGTGCTAAATTCTTAAAATTAATTTCACCATTTCCTTTCTACTTGTTTAACGTGGGCACTAGAAAATTTAAAACCTGTGTGGCTCATATTATGTTTCTATTACACAGCACGGTCCTGCCGAATTAATGAACAACAAACACTGAGCATTTCCACTGGGTCAGGCCCTGGGCTACATACTCCACACCCTACTTAGAACAAGGCCGCAAAGTGGTTTTACAAGACATCTGCCTAAGTGGCTGAGCTTCATCAAACTAATAAAGGATGCGGCTGGAATTCAAGGTCAGGCGTTCCCACCAAATAACTTAAATAAGGGACTGTTAACAGCCAACGCTGGGGCAACTTCCACGATGGCCTAGGAAAGCCAGGTCACTGATACAGCGTTCCCGAGAGCAGCAAACTTGTAACCAAAGAACAGGTACAAAACGTCAAGTTGTATCTCAGGCAAGTTAACACCAGAATAAGCCCAGTATCCTGGACAGCTCAGGCTTCGCAGCTGCCAGCAGCAACACCAGCTGCTCCCCAAAAAAGGACTACGTAGTTCAAATTCCCTGGATAACTTGACCACGACCCGACCGTGAACACTCATGCTGAGGGAGGGGCGTCGGGATACCAGGCACGCTGTCCACCCCGACCTCGGCACACACCCCACCCATCGCGGCCACACCCCAGATTTCCGCGCAGCTTTGGCGCCCCCGCATCAGGGACTAAGGGAAGTGGGACCTAAAACTTCTAAGATAGGATAGGGAAGTAGTAAAGAAAGGGCGAGGAGGCAGTTGGGGACAGGTACCTGAGACAGAAGAGGACCCCAGGTCCTTAAAGCCGGATCATCGCCGAGGCCCCTCCCGGCTCCCACGGCCGCCAGCGACCCAGAAGGTGCAACTGACCTGACGCTGCGGCGCAACCGCCTGTGCTTTCCCCAGATTCGCAGCTATGGCAACTTGAACTAGCCGCCTAGCCACAGCGAGAGAACAAGACCCCGCTCCTGCCGCTTAGCCCTCTGGGAGTTGTAGTCCATCTTGTCCTCAAAAGTAGGGAGTCGTCAAGAGAGAGGCCCGAAGAGAAACTTCAAATCCCAGGATGCCATATGACGGGCTTTAGGGCGACTTTCCCGGAAGAAGCCGGATTAGCCAGCACCTGAGCGCCTAGGCCGCGCCCTCTTGCCCTGTTCTTTTTTTGTTAAAGGGCCAGTAGCTTAAATAGGAGGGAAACACCTGATGGTGAATTAGCTGCCTTGCCCCCGACTGTAATTTATTCAGAAAAGTCTAAAATATTTACTTTTTTAAAAAATAAGAAAAATTCAAAGTCGTTGCAATAATAACAGACTCCGTTTCTTTTACGACTTTCAAAATAGGGAAGAGTAATTTCCAGAAGTGAAATGTACAAATCCCCTTAATACCAGATCCCAGTGTCTTTTTCCGAAGGCTCACAGATTCTTAGAACTGGAAGGGAACAGAAATTACCTAGTCAAACTCTTTAGGCCTGGAAGGAGTGACTTACCCAAGATCACATACTCATTAACAGCAAACCAAAGTCTGTAAGGCCGTCACTGCATGATTGCTGCTACATGCAGTCTACAGTGTCATCTCCTCAGTCATTTTAGAAGATGAGAGAGACGCATTCCACCGAGAGAAGTTGGTTTCAGTCGCCAAAAAGGGGGGGGGGGGGGGGCTATAAAAGCCTCAGCAAAGAATTCAGCTTTGGAAAAGCTCAGAAGATGTGAAAATCAATTAGTCATGTAGAGCCTCATTTCCTCGTGCTCTGCCAAAAAGACCATTGATCGCTTTCTCCTCGAGGCTAAAATCAAAATTTACTTTATCTGTGAAAGCTTTCCTGGCTACCTCAAGAAGAGCTAGATCACATTAAATGCACAGTTTCCCTATTCTAATAATTTTGTGCTGTAATTATCCATTTCCCAGTTGGTCTCTTCCATCAGACTCAGCCCTTCAAAGGCAGGGGCCAAATCTTTTAAAATCAGTATCTCTCTTCTCAGTCTTTCCTCACTTCCCACTCTCCCTTCCCCTCTCTCTCCCCACCCCCCAACCCTCTCATACAGGCACAAAATCATAAATAATTAGCATACAAATTTGATATATTCGAATAATTCAATTATTTTCTCTGGCCAACACTGAGGGGTAAAGTTTATTCCATAACCAGTTTGAACATAAAATAATTCTAAAAATTACCTATGTATTTTCATCTGTCTTCAAGCTGCTTACTCATAGTTGTATTCAAGAATATACTCCACCTGATACAGAGATTAAGATAATTCAGAACAGCCATAGTTTTCCCATATGCATGGGGAAACATAACTCCATTTATCTGTTAACATTTTAATTTTTCAAAACAATTATATTCATTCATTTAATTCAGAAAATGTATGTCATATCTTTCTAGCATCCAGACACTTGTATTAGACACTAAAAATGCAGTAAACATGAAAAGATGAACAAGTTTCTTTGCCTTCATTTTGCTCAGAGTCAAGTGAAAAAACATACTACTAAACAAATTTCTACAAAGTACTGTGTAGGTTTCCATGGAGAGACATGAAAGAGAAACTTTTTGAGGAAGTGATATCTGATCAAATGCAGGATCTAACAAAAAGGCTAATGTCATCTTGGGCTGCATTAATAAAAATTGACTGTCCACAACCTCTCTTCACTAGTCCAACCATATTTAGAGAACAAATTAAATTCTGGAGCCCCCATTTTTAAAGTGATGTTAACAAAATAAAGCAAAATCAGAGGACACAACAGGGACTAATGGGTGGAGAATCAGATTTGAGTTCATTATGACCAAGATATTTTAAAATACACTATTAAATTAAAGCAACTTTTTGTCATATGGTGTGCTCTCCATCCACAGATGTGACATCGGAAAAAATCTAGTTAAGTCAGATCATAGGATCTTTCTCCTCCTTAACAAAATAGACAAAATAAGAAAGCCAACAAAAAATATTTTACATAAAATGTGTCTTATAACTCCTAAAAACATTTATTGCTTTTAATCAGTGTGACAGACCCACATTATCCAACCCCAAAGCTACACTCAAGTTGAATCACCTGATTTTAGAGTCGGAAAAGCCCACAAAGATTACCACCTGCAGAACCCTTCTGTTGCAAACAATGTAAATAGAAACATAGATTACATTGCTAGTAAATAGAAACAGAGAGATTACATTGCTAGTGCTGTTATAATAAAATACCTGATTTTAGAGTTGGAAAAACCCTAAAGATTATCACCTGCAGAACCCTTCTTTTGCAAACAATGTAAATAGAAACATCGATTACATTGTTAGTAAATAGAAACAGAGAGATTACATTGTTAGTGCTGTTATAATAAAATACCACAGAATGGGTGGCTTAAAAAAACAGAGATTTATTTCTCACAGTTCTGGAAGCTGCAAATCCAAGAGCAAGGTATCAGCAGGTTTAGGTTCTCCTGGGGACTCTTTCCTTGGCTTGCAGATAGTCATTTCCTCTCTTTGTCCTCACATGGCCTTCCCCCACCCCCTGCACAGGCAGGTACTTGATGTCTCTCCTTCTTATGAAGACACCAGTTATTTTGTATTAGGGCCCCCGTCCTTAAAAACCTCATTAAACCTTAATCACCTGCTTAAAGGCACTTTCTTTAAATATGGTAATATTAATGCTTAGGGCTTCAACATATAAGGCTGGGGAGGAAGGCGGACCCGATTCAGCCTGTAACACATGATTTCCTCAAAATTGTACCCATTTACTACTAGTGTCATCAATGATTTTCCCACAACACAATACCTTGATAATGGTAGATGTAGCAGATATTTTTGACACACCTTACCCATATCACCCCTTAACTTGAAATGATTCTACCCACAGTGTTGGGCCCCAAAGTCTTGTTTATATTATATAAAGCCCCTTCTCTGACCATGGCTGATTGGTAAATGGCTGAAACAATTTGAGCCATTCAGGATCTTTATCCTTTAAGGGTTTAAAATTGGGACTCCAGCATTCAATTGGTTGTCTGAAGAGTCTTGATGTACAGGTACAAGCTGAGGTTGTCACAGTGAGGTGACCATCTTCATCACCCTTCAAGGAGAAATGGAAAAATCTAATCTGCAGAGAAAGAGAGAAATGAGTAAATCAGCAAAAGTAAACTGTGCAGCCCCAGAGGAAATAAGCCTAAGAGGACAGAACTTTGGCTCCTGACAATTTCCAAGTTCCTGGCTTTAATCTCTTGTTATTTCCACTATATTTCACGTATTTGTGTTCTGGGATACATTAGAAGCAGCCGGAGGTGGTTAAATGCACAGATTCTTGACCCAGACCACTTGGGTTCAAATCTTAGCTGTAATACCTCTCAGCTGTCTCACCTCAAGCAAGTACCTAATCACTCCGTGTCTTCACTTCTTCCCCTGCCAAATGGAGTTGATAAGAATAGTACCTAACATGTAAAGTTGTTTTGAGGATAAAAGAAATGAATGTATATGAAGCATTTCACCCAGTGCCTAGTCCATAGTAAGCCCTCAGTATATGTTGGCTGAATTTGCAATGATGTGGATGGACCTAGAGGGTATTATGTTAAGCAAAATAAGTCAATCAGAGGAAGACAATATCATATGATCTCACTGATACAAGGAATTCTTAATCTCAGGAAACAAACTGAGGGTTGCTGGAGTGGTGGGGGTGGGAGGGATGGAGTGGCTGGGTGATAGACACTGGGGAGGGTATGTGCTATGGCGAGCACTGTGAATTGTGTAAGACTGATGAATCATAGACCTGTGCCTCTGAAACAAATAATACATTATATGTTTAAAAAAAAGAATATAGTAGGAAGGGAAAAATGAAGGGGGGGAAATCAGAGGGGGAGATGAACTGTGAGAAACTATGGAGTCTGAGAAACAAACTGAGGGTTCTAGAGGGGAGGGGGGAGGGGGATGGGTTAGCCTGGTGATGGGTATTAAGGAGGGCACATATCAGCCTAATATAAGTATAATATCAGAATCCTCAAAAGACTAGAGAGAGATAAGGGGATAGAAAAAAATAGAAATAATGGCTAAAAAATTTCCAAATCTGATGAAAACCATAAATACACAAATCCAAGGACCTCAAAATACTGCACAAGAAATATGAAGAAAAATACATCAAGGTACATGGTAATCGACCAGTGATAATGAGAGTCTTAAAAGCAGACAGAGGGAGGAAAAAAAAAAAGTGTGTTACAAAAGAACAAAGAAAATTATGACAGAATATTCATCATTGGAAACAATGCAAGTAACAAAACAATGGAGCAATATTTCTTAAATACTAAAAGAGAAAAATACTGTCAATCTTTAATTCTATGTTTAGCAATGATATACTTTAGAAACGAAGGCAAGATTAATACTTTTTCAGACACACAAAAGCTGAAATCATTCATCACCAGAAGATCTGTACTACAAGAAATGTTAATGAAAATCTTTTCTTATGATTTAAATTCCTTTAAAAGATAATTGGCTATTGGGGCACGTGGGTGGCTCAGTCCCTTAAGTGGTTAAGCGTCTGCCTTCAGTTCAGGTCATGATCAAGGGATTGAGCCCCTTTATTGGGCTCCTTGCTCAGCAGGGAATCTGCTTCTCCCTCTGCCCCTCCTCCTCCCCTTAGTGCACGTGCACTCTCTCTCTTTCTCTCTCAAATAAGTAAATAACATCTTTAAGAAAATTGGCTATCTTAACAAATAACAATGTATTATGGGGCTTATAACTTATGTGTAGGTAAAATGCATGGCAACAGAAGCAAAAGGCTCTAGGAGAGAAAAAAATGGAAGTCAGGTTCTTAAATCATTCATAAAGTGGTATAATATCAACTGAAGGTAGACTATAATAACTTAAAGATGCATTCTATAAACCCTAAAACAACTGCTATAATAACCAGACAAAGAGTTATAGGTGAGACAACAAAGAAGATAAAATGAAATGATGAAAGTTCCTGGATTGATGCAAAAGGAGGTTTAAAAAAAAGGAGAAAAAGATCAAAAAACAAGTGGGACAAATAAAAAACTAGTAGCAAGATTATGGGACTTAAACTTATTATCACTAATGACATCATATATAAATAATCTATACAACCAAAATAAAAGGTAGAGATTGTCAGGTTGAAAGTAAACCTAACTCTATGGTATGTATAAGAAATGCACATTAAAATAAAGACATAAAGAGGATGAAAAAAAGTATAGAAAAACAGTAACATGGTAATGCTAACCAAAAGAAAGTTGGATTGGCTCTATCAATAAGTAGATTAAAGAATAAAGGATAGCACAAAAAATAAAGAAGTCTATTTAATAATGATAAAAGCATAAATCTGCCAAGAAAATAATAGAGTTCTTAAACATTTATGTAGCTAATAAACAGAATGTCAAAATACACGAAGCAAAACTGACAGAAATGCAATGGAAAAAAGAAAAATCCCCAATGTAGTAAAAAATTTCAGTACCTACATCTCATAATCGACATAATAAATAGATAAATCATAAAAAATACATAAGACTTGAACATTATCAACAATTTGACATATTGACAGTTACAGAATGCATGCCTTGACAACAGCAGAATGCGCCTATTTTTCTAAATGTACACTGATCATTTATCAAAATAGACCACATTCTGAGTCACAAGTGTCACTAAATTTAAACATTTTCAAGTCATAAAAACTATATTCTTTCTCTAAATGGAATATTTTTAGAAATTAGTAACGGAACAATATCAGGAAAATCCCCATATATTTGGAAACTCATACACTTCTAACTAACCCATGAATCAAAGAAGACATTTTTAAAAGTTAGAAAGTATTTTAAGCTGAAGGAAAATAAATATACAAGATATCAAAACTTATGTCTCTGAAGCAGTACTTATAGGGAATATATATACCTCAATATATCTATAATATTATCAAAGAGACAATGTCTCAAATCAATGCCTCCAGACTTCAACTTAAGAAACTAAGAAGGACAGGGGTATGTAGGTAGTTCAGTCCATTAATCATTTGATTCTTGATCTCAGGTTGTGAGTTCAAGCCCTGCATTAGGCTCCATGTTGGGCATACAGCCTACTTAAAAGACAAAAAAGAAAAGAAAAGAGAAAAGAAACTAAGAAGGACAAATCCAACCCAATGTATGCCAAAAAAAAAAAAAAGGCAATAAAGATCAGAGCATATATCAGTGAAATAGAACATAGAATAACAATATAGAAACTATGACACAAAAAGCTGCTTCTTTGAGAACATTAATAAATTTTAAATTATTGGCATAAATGTGTCCATAATATCCTCTTGTCATCCTCTTTATAGCTGTGTACTGTGTTCTAATGTCAACTCTCTCATACCTGAGACTGGTACTTTGTGTCTTTTTCTTTCCTGATTAGCACACCTAGAGTTTCCATTTTGATGGGGATGGGAGGGCAGAAAGAGACAAGCAATAAATGAGTAAACTAATCAGTAACAATAACCAATGATAAGAGGTTTGGTAACAGTGAAATGAGGTAATATGATGGGGGCGTTACTAGACAGGATTGTCAGAGGAGACCTTTCTGAGGCAGTGATATTTAAAGCAAGATTTGAATAATGTGAAGAGCTGGGGACAGATCCTTCACAGCATAGAGTTCCAGTAACAACAAATCCTGGAGGTGATAATAAACTTGTCTTGTTCCAGGTCCAGCAAAATGATGGCAGGTGCTGGACCTTGAAAGGCAGGGATCAGCAAACTTCGGCTTTCAGGTCAAATCCTTCCCCAGGGTTGTTTTGGTACAGCTTACAGGCTAAGAATGGCTTTTATATTTGTAGAGGGTTGTGTAAACAAAAGAGAAGGAGGAGGAGAAAACGTGACAAAGATCGTATGTGGCCCACAAAGCCCTAAAATATTTACTATATAGTTCTTTACAGAAAAAGTTTACCAGCCCCTAAAGTAGGGCCTTAGTGCTTAGGCTAAAGAATTTATATATCATTTTCTTTTTTTTTTTTTTTAATTTTGTTATCCCCCCCTTTTATTTTTTTGCAACAGAGTATTTCCATTGTATGGAGGTATCGCTGTTCATTACCTAGTCAATGGAATTTTGGGTTGTTTCTATTTTGCGGTGATTATTAATAAAAGCTTATAAGCTTTGAAATATTTTAAGTGTACAGTGCAATGAATTTTAATAAATGTATACATCCACTTAAGCTCCTGGCTAATTAAGATATAGAGCATTCCCATAACCCCTGTGAGTTCTTTCCTGTCTTTTTTCTGGTCAATCTCTCTAATCATTGTTCGGATTTCCATCGCCTGTCCCTGTCCCAGAAGAAGATATAAATAGAATCACACAGTATGTGAGGCGTTGATATTCTCTTAACCCAAGAAGAATTAGTAAGCAACTGAAGGCTTCTAAGAGGGAAATTGGGACAATCTGATTTATATTTTAAATTATCTTTTTAGCTACTATGCGAAGACTGGTAAGTAGGTGATAGTGTGCCACTTACGCATTCTTTTTCTTCCCATCTTTGGGGGATGGTGGGGGGGGAGGGGGGCAGAATATGGCTCAATAAAATTCCTGGGCAGACCAGAACTGACTCGTCAACTTCAAATCCTACGGCAAAGCCGGTTTCAGAGTTCTGATCAGGGCTCGGAAGTGTTCCTGCAGTCCCTGTTCTCCGCAGCAGATGGCCCCAGAGCGCAGTTCCTGACCTGCCTCGCGGAGTCCTCCGCTGCCCTAGGAGCCCCGCGCCGCCCGGCGACTCCGCGCGGCGACTGCTGTGTTCGTGGCGGCTCGCGCCCAGCGGTCCCGGTTTGCGCTAAACTCGGCGGGCAGCGAGGACCCGCCCGGGGTGTTGCGCCCGGCTGCGGCCGCACTCCGGCTGGCCAGCGAGGTGCGCCCGCCTCCGACTCCCCGCAGAGGCTTCTTAGGTTCGGGAGAAGCTGAAGTTCTGCAGGATCCCCGTCCGCCCTGGGACAGTCCAGCCGCGGGGACTTTCTCTGGTTGGAGTGCGTGCAGGTGGTCCCGGCTCCCCACCGGAAAACGTGGACCACTGGGTTTAGGGACAAGGCAGCGTCTAAAGTAGGCTTTGGAGAGAACTCCTGGCAGAAGCGCGCGGGGCAGGTTAGAAAGCAGAAGGGACAGCCCGGACTGGTGTTGAGTGTCGGGAACCGACGGAGCGGGGTGCGTGGCTCGGGGCACGGAGAGTGAAGCAATTAGGCTTGTTTGGGTGGAGAGTTGCCTAGGGAAACAGAACACTTAAGAGCCACTTCTTTTCCCCTCTCCAGCCTCCTCTTGGGTGCTGAAGTCACAACCCCAGCGAGCCCTCTCTCCTCCCACGCTCCCTCTGTCTTTCAGCCTGCGGGAACCCAAAGCGCAGAGGGCCCAGAGGATCGTGGAGAATGAAGAAATAGCCTTGGGACCCTTGGAAAATGAGGCCAACGCCCCTTCTGCAGCTGGCGCTGCTTCTCGCCCTGCCCAGGACCCTGGGGGGGAAAGGGTGTCCGTCTCCCCCCTGCGAGTGCCACCAGGAGGATGACTTCAGAGTCACCTGCAAGGATATCCACCGCATCCCCAGTCTCCCGCCCAGCACGCAGACTCTGTGAGTACCTGGGAGAGGAGAGGGTAGGATCAAGAGGCCAAGGGCAGCTGCAGAAGTGGACAGAAGTGCACAAAAAGAGCTTAAGAATAGACCAAAGGGGGTGTGTGTGTGTGTGTGTGTGTGTGTGTGTGTGTGTGTGTGTGTGTAAGGAGTAAAAACTCAATGGCCCAAATTTGGGATTGCTGACACACTAGTTACTCACAACACAGGAAAAGGTAACAAAACTTTGGTACAGGATGAAAATGAGAGTTGTCCTTTCTAAAGAGCTGCTGTTCCCCAATTTGCCTAGGCCTGGCTGACTCTGACTTTCACTTGAGATATTAACACTAATAGCAACTCAAGAATTGACCTCTAACACAGGGACCCTGTCTTTCAACCCTGAATTCCTTGTACCCAGCACAGGGCCTGGAACTAATTTAGTGCTCAAGCAAAAGCTTGTTGAATGAATAAATGAACAAATGAATATGCTAGTCTCAGACTGTCCTTTGTGTGATGGGGAGAATAAAAGGCCAGAGACATCATCACTTCTTCAGAGACTGCTTTAAAGGGGACAGAATGGCTCTGACCATGGGTGGAAACTTAGAGTCATCCTGTTTATAGTTCCACCCAATGTTGAGGAGAAAGGATAATGTTGGAGGAAGAGGAATGGACTAGGAGTCAGGATGTATTCTCTTCATCCCTCTCTCACCAACTGTGAAATTAGGTGAGATCATTTATTTGGGAAGACCCAAGATTATTTCTGGGTAAAAGAGGGGGTTCAATTAGGTGCATTCTGATGTCTTTGATGCAAGTGAGGGGATCCACTGAATCACAAAGAATAAGAAGTAGTGGGGAGACATTGAAAACAATGGGAGTGGGGGGCAGGGGAGGGACGGTGTTCTGCGGAAGGAAGTTATTCTGAGATACAGAAGAGAAATTGATGAAAAGCATGAGTGAAATGACATGCCAATTTAGACAATGGCCACAGCCATCTGCAACAGTAGCAAAGTGACTTTCAAATCTTTGGGGGGCAGTAGAACTCTTTTGACAAAGGAAAGCTTATGAGAGAAGTCAAGTCTGTAAAGCTAACAATTATACTGTGCTTATTATTCCTGTCCTCAGCACTTTGCACGAACTCACCCATTGACTCCTCACAAAATCCCACTGAGTAGGTAATTTTACTACTCTCATTTTATAGATGGAGAAACTGAAGCATGAAAAGTGAGGCAATTTGTTCAATGTCATGCAGTTTATAAGTTGTGGTGCCAAGATTTGAAATAGCACAGAGCTGCCTCTGAAACCCCCTGCTCTCAGATGAAAGCAGGTCTCACCCAGCTTTTCCCCAGTATGGTCATTAGAGAGAGAGCGAGAGAGAAAGAAAGAGAGAGAGGAGGGAGGGAGGGAGGAAGGAGAAAGGAGAGAAAAATGTGAGAACTCAGAAGAGTAGGAGGTTAGGGGGAGGAAAGAAAAAAGAACAAAAAGAAGGAGGGAAGGGGAAAAGAGAGGATGGGAGGGAAGGAGGGAGGAAAAGAAAGACTATATCTAGGTTATAGAGGGCATTTTCTGCTGAAACAAACCAGACCTTTGTCATTAAAAACCTGTTCTGGGTGGTAACCACTTTTCTGAAACCTGATGCTGTGTAAACACTGCCTAGCTGTTTTACAAATTATCATGGTGCTGAGAGTATTTTTTCCTAAGCCTTATCTTCTATCCATGTATTATGGTGCTGAAAGGTAAACAGATTGTCCCTTTCTGCATTACCCATACACTTGCCACGTGATCTGGTAGATGGATGGGAGGGAGTTACATTCTTCGTGGCTCTCATTGAAAGAGTGGTTCTGAATCTTCTTCTCCACTTCCCCTCCCCTCCAAGGGGGCATGATTCACTCTTTTAACAGTGGTTCTGACTAGGTAGGAAGTAAGGGAGAACTGCTATTCCTACTTCCCAGGGGAACATTTAGAATCTTTGATATACAGGTAGTTTGAAAAAAAATGCTCCTCCTAATTGAGAATTACTGATTTAAGGGAAATTAAATTAAGCCAGCAGAATAAAACTAAAAATTTAAATGTTGGCATACAGTTATAGATCATATTATGTCAAAACCAAGGATAGCAAGATGGACCTATTACCCTCATTCAGAGATTTACCATTTGTTACCTGTGTGCACAAGAGTACCATCCCTTCTCTGAATGAGGAGGAGGATGGGGTTAGACAGTCATTCTGGATTTATGTGGATTCTTCCTCAAGAAAGTGCTGCCTTGCCTTGTCTTGTCCTTTGACCTACCCGCTTTCAGGCTAATGATGGTGACATTCACTCCCTCCACCCCCTCCAACTCCCTCCAACTCCGGTGGAGTGATGGTTTGTCCATCACACACTTGTGTTCCTTCAGAAATGTTTCTGAAGGAGCTGTTGTGGCTATTGTTGTTTTCAGGTTTTGGATTTTGCTTCCATTATTTACATTTTGCATCTGTGGCTCTAATTGATGGATCAGCCCAGTTTTTTTTTTCCTAAACTGAAGACACTCACTCACCATCTTCAGGATTTTTCCCTGTGTTCCACCTGTGCTATTATTCACTCGTTATCTTTAAGTGACTCACTAACTGAAAAAAAATTATTTAGAAAGCTTCTATAGCGACGATAAATGGGAAATCAGCATGACTTGCTATAAAGAGGAGGTAATCCAGAAAGCTAAATACGTTGAAAACACAAATGTAATTATATTCTAGCTCAAGACTATTGCCTGTGAATGCTCTAAGCCTGAAGCTGACTTTTTGTTGTTGTTGTTAAAAGGGAAGAGTGATAAGTGTTAGAGAAATATAAAAGAGACACCAATTCAACTTTCTGTCCTTGGTGGTATCAGAAGAATTGAAAAACCGTGGGAAAGGGAATCCCTTTTCCACTGTGTGATTCGATATTGTTTAATGCCATGTGAGCATTCCACCTAGACCAATCTCATGTCATACCCGCTTTCCTCGCTTAGAGAAATGTGGGTTTGTCCCCTATTTCACAACTGTTTTAGTCACAATTGGTAGTCATAACGTGAATAACATTTGATTTCCAGCCTAAAGAGAAGCCCTCTGCTTTAGCACCCACATGCCTGTCAAATACAGCCCAATATTTTGCATCTTACAAAGATGGCATCGCTTCATGCTTGTAGACTCCATGATTTATTCTTTTTTTTTTTTTAAAGATTTTATTTATTTATTTGACAGAGAGAGACACAGCGAGAGAGGGAATACAAGCAGGGGGAATGGGAGAGGGAGAAGCAGGCTTCCCGCGGAGCAGGGAGCCCGATGCGGGGCTCGATCCCAGGACCCTGTGATCATGACCTGAGCCAAAGGCAGACGCTTAACGACTGAGCCACCCAGGCGCCCCGATTTATTCTCTTTTTATCCTCTGTGTGTGCAACTCAAGGTTTTTGATGGAAAGTAACAGGAAACCCACTCTGTCTAGCGTAAGGAGGGAATAAATGTTCTGAAACAATAACATGTAATTTACAGAATCATTGTAGATCCAGGCTTTCAAAAGAAGCCAGAGCCCAGGGCAGGCAGGGAGTTGCAGCAATAGCCAACCATCTGGTTGGAACAACTCCATACACAACAGCATAACCACAGCCACTGGACATCTGTGGTGCTGGGCACCTCGTTCTGTAGCCGCTGGACTGTCTGTGCGCTGCCTTCAGTGATTTCTCAACTGTTCCTGCCACTTTGAATCACCAGCCAGGAAGTGATTTCCTAGATAGGAGCATCTGATTGTCTGCCATAGGTTACCTGCTGTGTCCTAGCTGCTGGGGGCCGGGGGGTGGGAGGCGGGAAGGTCCCTTTTCCCTGACTTTCCATGTCTGTAGTGGGAGGTGAAGAACTGGGTCCTTCTAAGAGTACACACACACAAGGGGGAATTTTCCACCAAAGAGGGGCTATATGCCCTCAAATTGCTCATCACTTCCTTTATTCTGCAAATATTTATCGAGCACTGGCTATGTTCCAGACACTGTGCTAACACTCTAGATTTGGTGGAGAACAACATCAACATCAACATGTCCCTGCCCTCAGGGATCTTGCAATCAGTGTGGAAGCTGAATATTAATCAAATAATCATATAAACATATAATTTGAATTGTGTAAATATGCTGAGAGTATACTTGGTGGGGATAGGGTTGGGGACCGACTTAAACAGGGGAGGTTTTGAGCTACATCCTGAACCGGTAGGATTTGGGCATAAGGAGTTGCAGGTGTGGAGTGGAGGGTGAGAAAGTGGTGCTCCAGGGGATGGAACTGCTCATTTGAAGAGCTTTGAACAATTCTCACCTGATCAGTGAAATAGTTGGATTTCTTCACTTGGAACAAACAACAAAATATGTTGGGCAACAAAATATGTTACTACTTTCTTTGTAACACAATACAGGTCAAGGTGAATTCTTATGTCGGTAAGGGCAGCTTTTGTGCCAAAAAAAAAAAAAAGAAGAAGAAGAAGACTTATTGGGGGTAAATGGATTTAAAACCAAATATTTGATTCATTAAAGTAATGAATGTAAAGACTAGTTCTTTTTTCAGTTTTCCATATATTTATTATCTTATTTGTAAATTTAGTTAATGATAATAATTCAAGGAAGATTTTATAATGTAATAATATTTTAATAAACAATTTCATAAATTGTTTATACTAAATTTAAGTACAAATTTATTATATTTTATTTTAAAGCCCTTTAATTGCTTTCCAAGTACTTAGAAAATTCTAGAAAGTCTATTAAATTAGGCTTTATAAGTACCAGGAATCCTAAGTTTTTTAGCTATCTCAGTGCTATTTATAGGGGCAGGAGAGTAAAGTGGTGAAGAGTACTCTTTCTGGAGTGAGATCATCTTGGTTGAATGCCTTGCTCTACCATTTCCTAGGCATGCTTTTGGGAATGTAGAGAAGAGGAAAATATTTTTCCTTCTATTCTTCTAAATTTTTAGCGAGGACCCCTCATAACAACAACAACAAAAAAGATTAACAGGAGAAAAGCATACAAATGTATTT